ATATGAAATAATTGTCTGTGCTAATGCTGTAAGTTACACAGTGCAGTCTTTCAGAGTTATTCAAACCATTATCTAATCTTTTTGCACTATTCATTTTTAAGAACCAGCTCATAAGAATAATTTGTTTTGGGAATCGAGCTACACCGGTTGCATGTATGTTTTTGATTCACTTAAAATAACTGGCTGAAAGAGTCATTTGTTTGTGTGATATAAAATGAAAACAGGCACAGAGGTAAAGGTCTACCATATGATTTAAATAATTAAGAATCAAATTTGGTTTCTAAATTCTGCTTGAATTTTTTTTCATGGTCTTGGTAGCCATTAATTCATAAACCATGTTTCTTGTCATTGCAAGCAACCTTTATTTAATGTAATCTGGGTCATATTTACTTTTACCTTGCGTAGTTTTGGTCATGGTCATACAATTTGTCCATGCAGCCATCTGCCAAATTTGGTCAACTTGCATTTTATTATTTGCATTTGACATTGTTTTTTCCCTGATCCTTTTGGGACAGACTTGTGACCTATTTTTTTGTTGTGACCGACCAGTTGAATCCCACAGTCTAAGCTGTCATCATTGCTGTTTGTGTATGTGAAAGTAAGACAGATCAAGTCTTGCTCACTGTCTGTCTCTGTCCTGTCCTGTCCTCTCCTTTAATTAAAAGTCTCTCCTTGCTTTTGACATCACAAAAGTCATCTTTAATAAACCTCTGCTCTGTCCTGAGACTTATAAAAGGCAGAGCGGCAGAGAATATTCTTCTTTAAGAGGGTAACTAAAAGCATTTGGGGTGTAGAAAGCTACTAGAGTAAAAAGAGCTTACAGAAGATTAGCTGCTGTTTGATGCTGGGTGGAAGTGCATCTGTGCCCTAGTTGCTCTGTTGAGTTTGTGTCTATCAAAGGAGCCACAGAGCCTCTTTTCTCCTTAGCAGATGGAGACACGTGTTCTAATTGCAGCAGAAGTGGGCTAGATCTTTCAGAGTGAACGCAGAAAGGAACGGGAGTGAATAGGTCCTGCAAAAGTACTTTTTTTAAACAAAAGAGCAACATGAGCATTGTATTAGGATGAGGTCACAATAAAGTTATTTAATGTGATTTAGAGTTATTTAGAGTTTTAGAGTTATTTATTTATTATTTATTTCAAGTTAATTCTGTAGCCCACAGACATTTACAGTAAAAATAAAGGTTCTTGATTGGCATCTGGTTCTGTGAAGAACCTTCACATCCATGCACACTTCCATTGCACAAAAGGTTCTTTATAGTGTAAAAAGCTTCTTTAGGATTTTAAAATGTTCTTCGCACTAAGAAAAAAATGTTCTTTTAAGAGCTGTTCATTGAAAGGTTCTTCAAGGAACCAAAAATGGTTCTTTTAAAGCATCACTGTGAAAACTCCCTTTTGGAAACAATTTTTAAGTGTAAAAAGCATGGCAACCTGCTGACAATCGTTTTGGATTCCTATAATGGTTTTATATTAACAAGGTTATGTTTATTATTACATATATTTTTAAATTATTTTCTTGAAGTTAATTTATAATGTTAATGAATGTTTATTGCACCAAAAACTAGTTTATTTATTTTATGACCATTTTTCAGTCTTTCTATGACCTTTAGAATTTAACAGACCGTTTTTTTATGCTGTGCCTTTAAGACTTGTATGTAAATGGCCTATTTGCATGTGAAATGAATAACAGAGCTTACAGACTTTTCTCAGCTGTTTTTTCTACTTGTGGTAGACTGTCTTGTTCGAATGAGGATGACTTTTTGAGGTCTTTATTTATTTACTTATTTATATAAATACTTTGTTTTTCCTTTTAATGTTAATGTTCAAAAGAGCAAGGAAAATTTGTCTTTGCATGACACAATCATTTAAATGTTGTGTGCACTGCTGTAATAAATCCTATAGCTCCATATGAGTGTATACATTTACATTTATTTATTTCCTGGAAGCTATTTTACAACGCAACTTTACAAAGCATTCAAGGTATATCTTTTGTCAGTATGTGTGTTTCCCCCGAGCAGGCAGTGCAGTGAAGCCTCATGAACCACGTGGTTTACTGAGATAGACCAGCATGATACAGAATTTCACTGTCTGCCCAAATGGCTGTAATGGATACTGCATCTGAAACTTCTCTGCTTTTCCATTAATGTTGGCAACATTTACCTTTATTTGGGTAATAGATAGCAAGCTTGTAACCTGTTGAGTTTTATCATGATAGATTACCATATGCAGTTCCATTCAGAACTCAAAATTCTTTACTTGAACCTTACTGTAATTTTAGGTCAGTGTATGGAATCGCTATTCTGAGTTAAAAACAAAGTTATTCTGACTGACTTTACAAAAATTGCTTATGTATCGAATTGAAAGCCAGTCAATTGAATCGATTCACTGTTGACTCAAATATTCACACCCCTAGTTGATCAGGATAAAAGCCTGAGGCGATCAATATTTAATGGGAAGAAAATCTCCTGCTTCTCACCTGCCAGCTGGTGCTAGTTTCGTAAGAAGAGTTAGGCAACATACGGTAAAGGGGGAACCTTATCTGCTGTGTGTGTGTATATCCTCTGGCATCTCTTGCCCTCATGACTCAGTGTGTAAGGTGATTCACTTCAGACACTTACAGCTAATTGATGTGTGGGTGACATCTCTGATGTGTGTGTGTGTGTGCGTGTGTGTGTGAGGCTGCTGTGTCATGGTCTCTCAGTGAAAGATGACTGCTACTGTATCAAGTTTGGTAACATTCAGAATTGCTCTCTTTCAGTTCTTTAAGACACAGGATGCGGAACAGAAATGACAGGAAGAGGAATTTACTGAATTACAATTCAAAGAAACTTAATGTAGTCACAGAGACCAGAATTTGTGAGATTTCACAAATTTTTAACAAAGTAATTTATCCATAATTTTGATTATTTATGCATATTAATTTCCTGATATTTGGAATGTGGTGTAATTCTGTACTGTACTTTAAGTACTGTGAAAGAAATTAAATACTGGCATGCAAACAGATTTAAAATGTTCAATAATTCAAATTAAATTATTTGCATATTTATCTGCATTATTTAATATACTTTTATTTAAATCATTTAATATGAATTAGATATATCATGCTAAGAAATAAAAATTATACACATTGGAATATTGCCTTTCATGCAGTGTGTAATGTTGCTGTATGTGAATGTAATAAATCTGCAAAGTTGTAAAGCCGAAAGTGCACGATAAATAAAGATAAATAAAGTCTCCCAAAAGAAAGAATCGACTCAGTCATTTGAATCCCACTTCTGTGACGGCTACACATCACAAGGTAACACATTTGCATAATGCACGTCTATGTTCTATGTTGGCCAGCCGCGAACAGCTTGACCCCGCCCTCAAACACTGTAGCTTGTTCATGTCAAGAAGACACTGTGTCCTACACTAAGGCCCAATCCCAATTCTACTCCTTAGCCCTTCCCCTTTCGCGCGTTCACGTGAAGGGGTAGGGGTGACTCGATTCTCTTTTGGTTGGAGGGGTAGGGGTAAGGGGAAGGGCCAGATAGCCCTTCAAACGAAGATTTTTCGGGACCACACTTCAAACGAAGGGGTATGAATTATCTCAGTGTAAACCGGCTTCAGCGGAAACATGGCTGCCCGAGTGAACAAAAAGACATAAATGTAAGCATTTTTTGGCAGTAATAAAAATTTTAACGAAAAGTAATCATTTGTTTTATGTTACATTCAATCGTGAGTTCATATTTACGGTCATGTTACTCAAAGAAATGTTTGCAAAAAATCGCTAAAGTTTGCTAACGTCATATCATTACAGACTGCACGATAGTGCCACAACATATTTTCATGTCTGATCAGGGCGATAACCACCGTAGACATTGAGGGGGGCTAGTCCCCCCAATAATTAGAAATCACTAAAACCTTTTCTCAAATATGGCCAATTCGAGAGAGAGAGAGAGAGAGAGAGAGA